GAAAGCCAAGATGGAAAGCAAACTGAACAAACAGCCATTTAGTGCAGATTAAAAGGTCAAATTCACTTGTTCCACCATCTGGTATCTATTTATACCCAACCCCAGACTGTGCAGGAGCTGGTTGGGTTTTGGATGGACCCTGATGGCTCCAGGGAGAGCAGGAATCCACCTGCACCTGCCTTGGCTTAGCCAAGGGTTTGGAGCTGGGGCCAAAATCAAATTATGGGATCCCCAGGGCTCAGGAGAGGCTGGCTGAGCATTTTTGGCCAACAACCAGCTGTGGATGAGTTGAGTCCCACTCATCCCATCCTCCTGTGCCTTTTCCAACTGTCTCTGGCTTAAGGAGCCACCAAGGAGGGAACGTCACCTCCTCCAGGGTTCCCTTCCTAGGATCAAGGCTGAGGATGTGGGCACCAGGGTGAGATGCAGCCACAGGGTCAGGTTTGGGGAGCACAGAGGTACAAACTAACTGGTTTCTGCCTCCCTGCAAGGCACCAGGGCACATTTCCAACCAGCAGGAGATCTCAGCAGGATTTCTGTCCAATTATAGTTGGAAAATCAGCCCCTTACCTGCTCCAGGGGGAAAGGACACCAGCACAAGCCTGAGAGGATGGCAGGAGCATCCTGGCTTGTCCAGCTGGGAACCAGCATCACAGCTGAGCCACCTCACTCCCTACTGCCCCATGATGCCTCCCAAAACCTACTAATACTTTTTTCTCTTGCTCCTTTTGCTCTCGAGAAGATCAACATCCACCCATGTGCCCCCGGAAAGGAGAAGGGGGTGTCTTTTGGCTGCCACACCTGCCTTACAGCAGCTCCCATCTCCCTCCTGCATCCACAGCCTCCCTGCTGCTGGGAGAGCCCCAGGCCAGGCACCTGCAGGTACCACCACGTGTGCCAGCAGCAAACAGCCCATGCAGAGGGTTAGCAATGGAAAAAACCAGTATCAGTCAGAGCACAAGGCACTTAAGTGGTTGTTTTTAACCTGATCACGTTGAAGGATTTCACTTTCTGACACAGGCTCTTGCAAAATCTCTGCTCACATTCTCCTTCGTGGGAACTTCTGCTGAAGTCTGCAGAAACCCCCAAACTGCTTGGGTTTGGGGTTTATTTTTTAAGTTAAAATTATTGGGGGGGGGGGGAGGAGAAACTGCTCTTCCACAGACACCACAGACACTAACTATTGTTGTGGTATGCACAGAATGACCTCATATCTCTGGACCCACCCAGTGCAGAAGGATGGGCAGCAGCAACACCCCAGCACAACTCGTGGATGTTCATGCTGACCCCGACCTGGGGCTGTAGATCGGTTTGTTTGCTCAGAGGGTTGTTTGGTTTAGGTTTTGTTGTGGTTCTTCCCCCC